TATATATATATATAATAAAAGAAAAATGAAACAAAATGAAACTAGATTTCAAAAAAGAAAAATGAAAAATAAAATAATACTGGGCAAATCTGTCATCATAAAAAGTTTCAAAATTTTTGAACCAAACTCGCAATAAAACGAAACTTTTGGACCGGTGGTGTTAATCCAAATACTTTTGGACAAAAGTGACAATTTTGAACTGAACACATGACCATTTTTGTAGTTTTGTCTTTTATATTTATTGAATTATTATACATTAGTTATTTTTTTATTTTTTTTTTCAGTTTCTTTTTAATCGACCATATCTATTTATTTGATTTTTAAATATTAATAAATATTTTTTTAATATGTAATACTTCTATATTATTAAATATTATTTTATTGGTTTATAATTTTTTTATAATAATTCTTTTAAAAATTTTCATTGGGTTAAGATTTTATTGGACTATTATATATTAATAATTATTATTTTTAATATATAATATTTATATATTTGATAATTATTACTTTATTTTATTATTAAATTTTTTAAGTTAGTTTTTTTAATTTCATTTTATTTGATTAATTCTTTTAGTTAAATCTCACCCACCATACCTTTCTAAATTTATTTTAAATATTTGAAAGATAATATATTTTGTACAACACCACCATCATCACCCGATCTGATAATGGTGGGGTGACTGATATTTTTTAAAATAAATTAGGATGGTGGTGGTGTTGTCCAAAATATGTTATCTTTCAAATATTTAAAATAAATTAGTAGGGGTGGGATGGATGTGAAGTTTTGTTGGGTTTTTGTTAAAAATAATAAAGAAAGTGATAATCCAATAAAACTGTATTTATTAACATATAAATGTTATATGTTAAATGGTTAATATCATAAAAATGCTTATATTTTGTGTTTTTTTTTCCGAATTAAACCTCAACTTTATTTTTTTTTCATGAAAAAAACATTGTATTTTTTTATTTTTTCGATTTGACCCTTTTAGTCATATTTCACCAAAGTAAAGTTGTAAAATATGAGAGTTTTTTTTAGGAAAAACTAAAAAAGTTGAGGATTTATTTGGACAAATTTAGAAGGTTAAGAGGGTGGTTTTCACGGAAAAAAAATACAAAGTTGAAGGTTTTTCGGAAAAATAAAAAAATATAAGGTCTTATTTCATGAAAAAAAATCTGATGTTTAATCAGAAAAAAGAAACAAAAAATATAATGTCTTATATACGATTAATCGTATATTAAAATTAATAATTATTAATATATAATAATCCAATAAAAAGAAATCTAATAAAAAGAAATAAAATTAATTAAGAGAAGTTAATAATCTAGTAAAATAATATTATATGAATATTATATATTAAAAATAATACTATTTATTAATATATAATAATCTAATAAAAAGAATTAATCCGATAAAAAGAAATTAAGAAAAAAAATTAATGTATAATAATTCAATAAAATTAAAAAATGAGATGCAAAAATGGTCCTTGTAGTTTAGTAAAAAGACACAATTGTAGCAATTATCCCCGAGAGTAAATATTTTATTTTAAAAAGTTAACAGCCAAGTTGTTAATGTTAACGTGATAGGCATTAAAACCGCACAAGACATCCAAAATTGGACCAATGATGTACCATCAAACGCTTTTGGACAAAACTTCATATTTTTAACAACGATAGGGACCATTTTTGCTATTTGGTCATAAAATTACTTATTTTGACATTTTTCAAATATTTAAATATTTTGTTTTAAGCTTTATATTTATTACCATATTTAGGTTTTTGCTCACACATTTTTTTTTGTTTGAACGACTAATTAGTAGTTAGAAGTTAATATCACAAATTTAATAAATTTCACCATTGCTCAGATTAGAATCCGTGACCTTCAATCTAAGAAGCAAAACCTCTACAAAGTATATTTTTCTCGGCTGACAATGGGAATTTAGCACTTAAAATACAAATATTTCATACAAAATAACGTTCAAAGTTTAGTAAATTACACGAATGGTCCCTATGGTTTGAGGTAATTTGTGTGTTTGGTCCCTAACTTATTTTTTTAACTCCGAAGGTCCCTACTATTTGCTTTTGTTACGCGCCTGGTCTCTACTGTTTGTTTTTGTTACGCGTTTGGTCTCTGTCTTACCTAAAAAGACTATTATTTAAATAGGGAAAATTGGTAGGGTAGGTAAGGTAAGGGGAGGGGGTGGGGTTATGGGAATGTTTATTTAAATAAATTAAAAATATCAAAGGCAAAATAGTCTTTTTAGGTAAGACATGGACCAAACGCGCAAATTACACAAAACCATAGGGACCATTAGTGTAATTTACTCTTCACCAAAACCAAAAATATGTTAGTTTTATTATCAAGTTATGCCCGGTTGGGTTCATTATCTTTTGAAGACATACAAATCTTTTTGTAGAGATATGTAGATAAAAAAAACATCAATCTAAATGTTTTATTTATTTGTAATTTCACATAAAGCTTAATGTTCAATGTTATTGTCAAAAGAAAAAAAAACATGTACAATGTTTTATGTTAATATAATGATGAAAAGTTGATTAATTTATTGTCGTGTCACTTGTTATAACATTTGTTGTCTTTTTGTTTCTTGTCCATATTCCCACACACCTAACATTTTTTTACAAATACAAGAAACCTTACACATGCTTGGTCACATTCCTTGCGTTTTGCTTATCGATATGTCCTTCTCAAGCTATCCATATATCCAAACGTCATGTCTTTTTCTATATTCACTACGACTTGCATATGATATTGAAAGTTTGAAACCATTACATCTTTTAATGAACGAGATAATTATGTATAAAGAAATTACCATAACGGGTGATAAAGAACCACCTCGATATCACTTTTAAATTTTATTAGAACAAACGTAAGAGCTCGAGTACACCGGGATTCTCTTTCATTCGAGATTGTAGGTATATATAAAAAAATATAAAAAATGATGAAATTAAAAAAAAAAAAAAAAAAAAAAGGG